GGGGGGAATGGTCGATCTAACAAAAGTGAATGTAATGATGAGATTTGTTATTACACGTATTAACTCTGGAAAATATAGTTAGATGCTGAATCTAAAATTAACTAGAACTGTGCAATTCAAGTCTTATTTCAGTTGCAAAGCCCACAGGTATAGCAAGTTAGATAATATATAACAGATGCAGGCTCTCTGGCTGCTTCTAGCCTACTACTACTGATTCTAGACAAGGAATCTAGATTTAGCTATCGTCTGCAACCATTCAAAAGCCAAATGTATGGTAAAATAAAAACAAAACTGAATTCTTTTGTGAGTCAGTACATCACAAATGCCCTAGCCACACGTATTAATAGTTGAATAATGCGATACTGAAGCAACACGTTTATAGCAGCTCTGTCCACATCGGATTATGCGATTGTGCGGCCGCAGCGTGGCGCGTTTTTCCCCCCCACGTAATTCTGCAACATTTGCATAATTTTGGGTTCCCCTCGTTTTTTCACGTTTTTATTCATTTTTCACGAAACATGTGACCAAAGGGAAGTAATCACCGTAATAAGTCTCATTTAAGTGTAAAGTTGGTTATTTCCCTTGATAGAATATCTGGGTCAATGGTTATTGTGGGTTATGGATTTTGTTCCAGCCGATCACAAAAGTCTACAGGGCGTATCGAGGCGGATTCGCCCTGCCTCGTGCACGTTCACTAAACTGCTTACTACTACACTACTACGTTTGTGTACACGATTTTTATACACAAAATTTTACCCGAAAGTCCATTCGGAGGATTTGACCTTTTCACTTGACCAAAGTGTGCCAAAATGGTAGCCTAGCTTTTGCCCCTCCGAGAAGGAAATATATGGCCCTCATTCAAACCATTGGGATTGAGCAAAACTTTCCGTATTGTGCATTTTTTTCATTGTGTTATGATTTATAAGTTTTACACTTGAGACAAAACTGTATTAAATGAGAAAGGTTCTCTATTGCGAAAGTGGAACGAACTTTGTTGCGTGAAAATGGTAGTTTGAGCATATGTGGCCTAAATAAGGTTCCGTGGTGGGGTAAACCTAATAGAGGCCATATGTGGCCTAAATAAGCACTCCCTAAATGGAACTGTGAACTCTTACGTGCTTTCCCTAACCACTGCAGCACTTGACTCTATACCCGAATTTGCAAGCCAGACTGGGTTTTAATTGGTACGGTC